GTCAGTCCGTCTTTGTAGATGCTGAGGTATTTCATTGAATAAGTGAAAACTTATACATTAAATGTACAGTGGTGGATGACTTGCTGGTGGCACCAGAGGAAAAGTCAGGGGAACAACTAAAAAGCTGGGTTTTGTTATATATCTGAAGCAACATTTTATAAACTAACCAATAAGTGATGAAATATTTGCCAACAGACACTGCCATCCCGAGAGCCACGCCGCTTGCATGGCAAAACAATAATACTGCTACTAAAGGCTCCTACAGCTACTCAGCATGGAGGTCCAAATCCCCAACCCAAGATTATATGCATGTCCATGCTTTAGAGGTACCCTGGGGAGTTTTCATTATAAACAAAAACAGCTTTAATTACATTTACCAGTGAACGCATTATGTGTATCCTCAAGACCAAACAAACAAAACATACAAAATCTGTTTTATACCCCATTAAACATTTGAAAAGCCTTTCTTTGTTTATTTTGAATCATGCTTTGTTTACAACAGTGGTATTCTTCTCATTTTCCTCTTTCATTGGCTAATTGCTATCCTTTTATTGCCACCGACTGCTACTACCGTTTTTGAATCGAGATTGTGGAATATGTGCATAGTTGTGTGTGTGTTCATTTGAAGACGCACACAATAAAGGGACTCATCAAGGGAACATCAAAACGTTGCTCTATGTAACTCAGCCTAATCACTAGACTAGGGTTTTGGGTTGTTCTGTGATTCGTAATAATCATAGACGCATCTGTGTTAGTAAGTATGTAAGTAAGCAAATTTGCCTTTGTCGAGAAATTCCATAGTAAATAACCCAAACACAAAGAGGCCATCTGATAAATTATTCCAGTGTGAATCAGCATCTCACTAATTTTGGGGGCTTTTTTGTTTTTTTAACAGGCCACAGTGCAAATAAGAGCTTCAATAGCATTTTGGCTGCATATTCAAGAGGCTCCTCCAGCGACTCAGCATGGAGATCCATTTGGAAAAGGACCAAGTTCCAATTAGTACGTCATTAAATTTCACTGAAACAGACTTTGTTTATTTCTTACAAATGCAGCACATGGCAGAATTGGGTGATGAAGCCTAAAATCACCCAAGGTCCCCAGGTAATTCTACTTTAAGGGGCGGGGCTTACAAGCAGGTCAATCCGGGTCCAGTATATGTAATTTATACATATGCAATGTAGAAACATGAATGCCACCAGAGCACATACACTGAGAATGGACAGTGAAGTAAGAGATATCTTGTGTGCAGCAGGAAAACTGAAAATCTGCATATTCATAGATTATTTATAGAAGGACTAGATGAGTTTTTAAGGATTTCTGGGGGGAAAATTGTTTTTCTTTTTTGCAACATATCAGACACACATTATTGTTCCAATACTATTTATATATATGTCTTGAAACATGTATGGAAGGGATCTCTAAACATGTGCTATTGGTCACCATTTTACTACAATTTACTCAGGTTAAAAAGATTAATTGAATGTTCTGTAGACAACAACATATAACAATATATGTGTTCGACACATCAGACACAAAACTGTAGCATGATTGTAATGTGATATGTTACACGTACCAACCTAAGACTGGCCTGTTATCATAGAGCTAATGGACCCCTCTCATGATGACAGGCTGATTTGGACTCTTGGGTGACTGCAGCGTAGAATTCAGGTCATTCACGTCATGTCAGTGACTTCTGTCCCAATTTTATTGCCTTCCCTCTGCATTTTCCTGCCCTTCTGTATCTATGCTTCATGTTGTGCTATTTTCTTGTTCAAAAATCTTCTAAAAACAGCATCAAGTAATGTATTTTCAGGGATGTTTGTGTAGTCAAGAAATATTACATTATTGCTAAAGTCACACCAAACTCCACTCTACACATTAACCTGGTTTTCAAAAACAGAAACCTCAAGCACTGTTCACAAACATGTTGAATGTCAATGCAGACAAAAGGCATTGTCAGTCAAACGATATTGATTTTAAAGGCCCAGTCCTTGATTGGTGCAGAGAACACGTTCCACTCCATGGTCACCTTGAGTTCACATGATCGCATTCCAACTACACCCTATGTAATTTATTGTAAGTTGATAGTATTGAATGTGGACCATATGAACTTCACTGTGTGGGCACATTTGGCATGCAGATTGTGTGTGAGATTGACTATTAGTGGGAAGGAACTTGGTCTCTAATGTCTGTGTCTTAAAATCAATGTTCTCTCATTAAGCCTTATTTCACGTGAATGTTGGGGTGATTTCTTTGCATTTCAACATGAGCACTGAATCTTGACTGTAGGATATGAAACTTAATGATTGAAATAATCAATTAAATAATTAATACACATATCTCCAATGCAGAGTTATTCATCCAATTAGTGGTGTGATGGTGTGATTATGTGTGATTTAGTGATTGATTCTTACCCACAAAAAAATGCTCACACATTATTATACACATTATTTCCACCATATATGTATGATAGTAATACATATTATAGAATAGCATAGGCTATGTATTTATAAAGGATAAAATAACAGTTATCTGAGAAACAGCAGTGACTTAAGGATTCATTTCTGGCTGCAGTTTCAAGTTACCGGAAAGCACAAGGGTTTTAAGAACAGTGATGGATAGTTGGAAAATCTGAACTTAGATGTGTGGTGAGTGAGTCTGCCAGAGCACGATGAAGGGTTTTTACAGGAGTTTTGTCTGACCACCTCAAACGCTGCAGCAGAGCCCCCACAGGGATTGAAGTGGAATCTGAGTCACTTTATTGTCCTGGCAGCAGCACACCTCAAATAAATTTAAATAGTTTTTTGTATGCAAAGTGTTGTTCTCAAAAAGCTTGCATAGTTCTTGTACAGTTCGGATCAAGGGTCTGACAGGTAAGAAAAGAAATACTTTAAGTCAATTACTCAACATTTGAATAAATATTTTAAGTAAGTACTTTTTCAGTCAGAAACTCCAAACGTCATCCAAGTTGAGGTGAGGATTTGCTGCTTTCATCTGTGTTATATTATTGAGTATCTTTGGGAAATGGCCTGTTAGACAAAACAGACATATAAAGTTCAGTGTGAAAGTTCATCCTTCATCTTGGAAACAGAAATGATCTTACCTCAAGGTCTGTTTGAAAGCTTTCAACCATATCTCACAGTCTGCTTCCTCAGCATATGGTGCTTGCTATAATCATGTCTACAAAGTTGGCAAAGCGTGGGCAGCACATTAGCATAGCAGCAGCAGCTTCAGTGCTCCCTTTGTATCTACAGAGGATGTGTTCAGACACAGTACACGTGTAGGTCGCCCATATTTAGTACAGTTTTTTGCCCTGATTCCAAAATAAGACAATATTCCTACTAAACTGTTTTTAGTAGTTATTCCTACTTTTCCTACATATTTAATGAAAATTAATATTCCAATAATATTCCTGTATACATGTAGTTGTGCATAGTCCTCTTAACATAACTGTTACTGATGTACTGTACATACTACTGGAGGAATTTCCCTCCTTTTCCTTCCTTTAACCTCCTTTTCAAACTGCAGTCATATTGGTCCCGTAGTGAAAGTGGAACGACTGGAGAAGCTTGAGTCATTTTGCCTCTTTTCGTCAAACGTTTTCCACCGGTGGCAAACATTGCGGACACAGCCTCCCTCTTTTCACTCATTCAGCCACGTTCTTAAAAAGGTTGCCATTGCGATATTTGCACATATCCAAAAATCTGTATCAAAGTCTTTCATAATGTTTAAAAGTAGTGCCTCTCCTTCCAAACAGAAATGTGGGCTTTTGTTTTGTACAGGCACCTTTACTCCACCTATGCAAACTGATGGCTAGTTGGTTTGTTTACATCGCCCAGAGCTGACCATAAACAGGCAAGAGGCTGTGTGTCACAAACTGTGGTCCCCAAATGAAATGCATAATCCGAATACACGCCCAAAGAATGCTCCTAAAACCTAAATAATATTGGCATATCCCATGTGTCCTAATCAGAAAATGCTCCACTCGGAATAAGTTCTTTATTGGGACAAACTGTGCCTTCTTTTAAGAAACAGAACACTGGCTTGATATTTTCAGTGTTGGAGAAAAAAAGCTAATTATTACTCAGAAATGTGATCAACGCTATTATTATTACCATTTGTGTGTTTGTACCAGTTGACCTGGCACTTAACTTAACTTAGCAAACATTTAACTGAGATGTCCTAGGTTACATATCAGATGGTAAACCAACAATAGTTGTATTGTATAGTTAATGAGAGCACAAAATGTGACCTGTCACATAAAAATATATTGGGGGAAGAGGGAGAGCTGTTAGGAAGTAATTAAAGATGGATGTTGTTGTCAGCCTCTCATTTCATGCCACTGCAAAGCTAGTGGTAGAGTCACCACTTTCATCGGATACCATTATTTTTTTAGCACCTGTTTGGTCATTTTTTGCCTCCAAAGATATTGTGATTTGGCACTGCTAATGTTTTGTGAAAAGTTCATTTTGGTATGAATTTGAAAGTGAGTTCCAACTCTTATTTCAAATGCAAAGTCCTAAAATCAGCATTATAGATTTGATTGTGTGGGACCCACCTACAAAATTTTAAAAAATCCTGTATGTCACACTGATGCATTTTTTTTTTTTTAAAAAGGTTAAAAGGACATTTAATTTAAATTTTTAATGGTACATAAGTAGGGTCTGTTCTACATTAGATTAATGTGTGATTCTAACCAATACCATTGGCCACAACTGGTCGCACTGTGCACAAGGCCAATCCTTTTTTATTATTATTAAATATCTACAGCCATATAGAGCAGCAAAAAATGACCTTGATCTCACCTACAGCAAGGCATATGCATCTTTGTATCACAAAAGAGCGAGGAGGGAGAGGAACTGTGTGCTGTGTGCCCCGTGGGCTGACAGAATGGTACATTTGAACGATTTCAAATTATACTGAACTATAAAGAAATTTCTGAGGGACAAATGATGGGTTGTGATCTCTTTCTTTGTCTGTCTCATTTTCTTTTCCAGGAGATAATAATGGATGGCCCCATCTTTTCGACAAGTATTTTGGAATGCCAAGCTATAACACTGGGACCAAGTCCAATGTGTGCTGTAAGTACTGATATTTTGTTATTAACTGCATATTTACACGTGTTTTGGGTTAATTTGTGCTCATATGCATGCATGCCGAAAATAACCTCGGCAGTGATGTAGTTTTTCTGGATTTTCCTTTTTTGGTTGTCCTTTAGGGCATCAAATAGAAAGCCATACATGGTTGAATCACTGCTGTGTTACGGTTTGTTCTATGAAACAAAACTGGTTGGCAGTGTGTTTAATCACGATCTGCAGTTGCAGTTCAGTTGGGTGCATAATGGCATGCAGTTGTGAGTGGGAAGCCGGTGAAAGTTCATTTCACAGTGACTCTGACTGGTTGGTTGGAATGACTTTGTGGAGGTGGGATGGGGTCTGGAGGGGGATAACGTGAACTTGATGCATTGTGCCCTCCTCATGAAGCGTCTCCCTGCCGTAAAGATATTCAACAAAACACAATGAAAGGGTAACGAGTTAGAAAATGCAGACAATTATATTTACAAATGCTTTGATGTTAATTATTCTAGATTTGGGTTTTTTACAATTTCTTGACATGAATAGATCAAGACTAGCAGCCACCATGGTAAACATGTATTTATTGAACAATGCCAAAAACTCAAAATTCAATGTACAGTTCCATTGCAATAAGGATATGTATTTACATCTTCTGGTTCTTTAAAGTGAAATTACTTTTTAACTAACCCTTTCAGGCTCAACCCATCTCATTTAATAGCAAACATCTTTGGTGTTACACCACAGAGGTAATTCATCACCCATATTGCATCAAGTATACATCAGAACCAGAATCGGAATGACTTTTAGTGGCCAGGTATGTGGACACATACAAGGAATCTGACTGAATTTGTCTAGCCCAACAAAATAGACATAAACTATGTACAGTTACACATATATATATATAAACAAACAAAGACAATAGTGGTGCAGAGTGCAAAGGATGCTGAAATAAGTATTATGTACATGAGGTAAGTGGCTATGACCGTATATACAGTGTATGCAGTATATACTGTCATATACACCTCATCCATCACAATGATATCAAGTTACAAATGTTTGACAAGGCAGGAGGAGATTTTTCTTTTCTGTTCTTTTCTGCTTATTAAGAAGGCAACTCTAAAAAAAAAGCTCAGCTTCCCTACTTGTCAAATCTATTTTTTCCTCTGTAGATTACAATGTTTAAGTTATATGAAGTGTTGTCAATTAGAGCCCACCTTCTAGCAATCATAACCTAGTCAATCCAAACCAACCGACATTCGTGGCTGGGTTATGGTAGAAAAGAAGCAATTCGTAGAATGTGTCCAAAGCAGTTTAACCATCCCACAAGTAGTTCTGATTAAACATCTACTATTTAACCAAGATAGAGAAAAAATAACAAATGTGATCTTAAAATAAAAAAGAACATGAGCAAAAACAAATTTGCAAAAGCTTCAATAATGCTCGCTGCTGACTTGCTGATGTTTACCCGCTGCACCGTGCCACCAGTTCTTCACTTCAGAGAGCACAAAAGAGTCAATGAAGTTCTACTCTTTCTAAAGATAAAAGAATTCAGCTGCATAGTCAGATGCTTAGAAAGGACAGACAATATAATAAGTAGTGGGATGGATATAAATATAAAATACTCAATTTTAAAAAGAAAAGTGATAAAAAAATGCATTACATTCATAAATAGTAAGCTCATCATAGTTTCCAAGGGAGAAATGCCATTACTTTTTTTAAATTAGAAAAGCCAAATGTATATATTATACCCCACACAATGAACAGTGCAAATTGGGTTTGGATGAAAAAATTTTTACACCAAAGTCATGCATGTAAACAAACCCGTTTTATTCAGCTTTCCCATTAATCAGGTATTCTCTCGGCTTGTTTAGAAAGTTAAATGTGTCCTGCAGTTTGTCAGACTTGATCTATGTTAAGATGAATAATGCATGCATGGCCTAATTGTTGGCATAATTATACTTTTAATTTGCCATCTGCACTAAATTACAAAGTCCCAAACATGAAAAATCAAACAAGTCAGAGGAAATCAATTTGTCAAGTTTCATTTTAAGCCATGACATCAAGTTTTGTTTAAAAATTTGTTTAAAGCGCCTTTTTCAGCTCATTCTTCTTGACTCTACTTATGTGACCGTAGTTTGAAAGCTAACATCCATGCTGCATTCACTGAGAATCTATACCTCTGAATGTGTACACAAAAAACACACCCACACATTTTTATTTCCAAAAATAAAACCCAGCAGGTTTGCCTGGTGTTCTACCTAAAGATAAATGATCAAAGATTGTGTCCACCAAAATGATTGTTATTAGCAACCATAGGCAGCTTTGGGTAGGGAGACAGTGTTTCTCCTTTAATATTGCATGTATCTCCATATATCAATGATCTGCACAATGTTCAAGTGTTCTCTGTCATAACAGTACATTTTTCCTCGAATACCTAGAAGCAATGGGATTTAAATTTTATTTGATTTGGCCTTTTAGTTAAGTTATTATTAGATGTGCAGAATGTTAGCTTTGGCCAGTAAAACCAAGCTAGACAGGGAAATGTGGAGAGGTAGCACAACAAGACCCTAATTCATCTATAGGTATAGGCCTGGTTTCAGGAGGATCCAGATGGGAAACCATCTTCAAAGCTGATTTATAGTGGTCTTTCACTTGCACTTAATCTGGCCACACACATGGAAACTCGCGCAAATCGTGAAAGGCCTATCTAGAGCCAGTGTTAGTTTGTCAGTACTGGGTTACTGTATAAACATGGCAGTTTAACATAGTGGACTATATAATAGGACCTGCTACCTGTAGATAAAAGCTGCTTATTGTAAAATAACAATGTTCAGGTTATGATACACAAATAAAAACATTCCTATCAACTATAACTTTCTGCCAATAGATCATCCTAAATATTACACACTGGACCTTTTAAGTTGTGTTAAATGATTCACAATGCCAACTCATGCATTCCTCCTTAATAGTTGCCGGGAGCTGCCTGTAGCTGTCAGTAGCCTTTGAGCAGTACAGTGAATTAAATAATCATATAGCTAGCTAACGTTAATTAGTAAAGATGAAAAGGCAGCAAAACATCCTTTCATTCATCATTCACTCTTCTAATGGTTTGCGATACATTTTCAAAAAAACATTACCAAGTCAACCTGTTAAACTTGTTTTAGGAAACTCTCTAAACGCTATAGTACTTTTTCCCCTGTTTATCAGCCTTTATCAAGCTTAAGCATCCATAAATATGTCAGATACAGGGTTGTATTTATATGTCAGTACATTTTGTATCGTTCATACAAATAGATGTTGCTATTTTGATAACCTTGATATGCTTTCCTTCCTCTTCTGGTAATGACATGCATTATTGTAATTAATTCCATGAAGATTCATTTGCAGGATTTCAAATGAATCTAAATTGACATTGCAACATCATTTCGTAATAATAGGCACTTTTCTATTACTATTTCCAGGAACTCTCATATTATTGTCTGAATACAGATGTTGGAGCTTTTGGATGGTTTCGCAGAGTTAAGCATTTATTTCCACTGGGGCTGTCCATATAATAAAAGTAATGTTGGTAGAAATAAGTGTTGCCCAAATGTGCACTCATTGAGATTTAGTATAGCAAAGCAGTACTCACATCAGCAGATACATGACAATAATAATATAACTGTTTTATGGGAAACGCAGTGTGACATGATAAAACATTATAAAGAAATTGAGCCCAAAAGAGCCACTCAAAAGAACATTTTAGTACTGGTATAAAGTAAAAATCCAGTTTCCCACAGCCTCTTAAACACACCTTAAAGGTGTAGTGCCTGTCAAAGAGGAGCCTTTCATTAAAGGCCCCTTGTGGCTAATTCTGATGTGTCCTCAAATATAATTTTCTTTCATTTGAGCCAGGAAGGCCTGGTTAAACAATCTTATCTGCTCCATTTCATCATGTCTTGCATAGCTAAACTGGGATTTAATGAAAGATAATCAAAGTTGGCATAACCCAGGAATATTCAATAAGCAGTCTTGAGAAACCTGTTTCAGTTATTAACTATTGCCATCCTGTGTTAATCCTCCAAGCCAATAAACTCTGCTTACACACTCTGCTTTCCTTAAATCTCAGGATTGCATTTTCTTCATGCAGAAGTAGGTTGCCATTCAGTCAAACAGGTCCACTTTTGACACTTTGACACTCCGCAGAATGACCCGTTGATTGACGTATCCTCTGATGTCCCTACCCTCTCCCCTCCATCTCTCCAGTGCTGGGTGTCGTTCCTGAGCTCTGCCAGTGCAGAGACCTGGAGCTGGACTGTGACGGCGCACAGCTTCAAGATATCCCTGTGGTGGCGATGAATGTCACCATGATGTGAGTAGAAAATATCCCCTTATTTTTTTCAATATCATAAAGCTCAAGCAATTCCCAGGAAGCCCTTATCCTCAACTGTGACTGTCAGAGCATGTGAGAAGTGTTGTAGCAGGCGGGCCACATCCCCACCCCCCTCCAAAACGCTACCCTATCACTGTGAGAAGCTGTCATTGCCACAAGATGAGTGAGTGAGTAACTTACTTGAAGCCAGAATTAAAGATGAATATCTGGTGGGAGTAGAAGTGACTAATGCAACCCCTTTTCAAAATACTTTGTCTTATTAACTTTTATTTGACATGGTTGTATGAACATGTAGTCATTACAAAGTTTTTTTGTGTTTGATGGAGGTACATTACCCCTTTTCAGTCCTTTTAGGTTGTTTTTATGTGACCTGGAACATTAACACAGCTAGAATATTTGCATGTCCTACATGTAATTGCTGCATCAGCTGCATGGTTGTGTACCAAACTTTTGGATGCTGTCAAATTCTATATTAAAGAGTTTTGTGTGGGCATGAGGTCACCCCATCAACATTTTGATGGCCAATTACAGAGAAATGGTGCTTTCAAAAAACAGTCTCGTAGGTTTTGTACAGAATATGGTACCGAATTTGGTAAAGATTGAACCAAATATTTTCCAATAGAGGCAACGATTGTGTTTACCAAAAAGTTGTAAATTGCGTAATATGTTTTCAAGCGCAAAAAGGCATTACCTATAGATCTAATCACACAATTACCAGGCAAATTGGCGTGTCCTTATTATCTGTTATAACGTATCTGCTTTGTCATTGGGACAGCATCATTTTCTTGTTGTTTTGTAGTTGCCCCATTTTTTCTCCTCTGAACCGCACTGACTAAAACTTTGGTTTTAGGTGTGTTTAAAGTGCAGGTGACCAAAGCAAGAGACTTGTGTACATTTTGATTTAAAACGAAAGGGCACAATAGTTCAGACTTCCAGCCAGGGTTGGTAATCTACAAAGTTATTTGTTACCTTCACAGGCAACAAGGTTCTGGGTGGATGGAAAGATTGCTGTATAGAATTAGCCAATGTGTGGCCTGATTGGTAATGATGTATCAAACAACAGACCTTTTTCTCTGTTTTAGAGAGTGTTATAGTTATAGTTCTGTTGGCCAGTCAATTATTCCACAACTTTGGTTTAGACTGAAATATTTCTACAACTATTGGACAGGTTGCAATGAACACCTGAACTAGAAAAAAATGTTTTCTTATTTTAGTAATTTTGATTTGCTGTGGCCTTTTCTTCCTTGAGATCGTTTCGTCAGTCTATATTAACAGTGAACACATTTTTCCTTTGATTTTTATTTTAATGAAGTATGACTTTGTGTAGGTGGCACTTTCTATTAAAATAATAATGAAGCAATAATAAATATTTTGTGGGTGTTCAGTTATGATTATCGTTTTTGTCTCCTGACTGCCAAAATCAGGACTTGAAGTTCCACAGTGTGAAGTCTCTTTACTTTTTGTTAATATGTTTGTGAATTAACTTGTAGAAGGAACACATCACTCAGGTGCATGGCTGTCAGAAAACAGTATAAATGAAAAAACAATACATGCTCCACACTAACTCACTGCCACAAAAATCTCTTTAGTAAAGGGTAGCGACAATCCTAGATGGATCATCGTCAGATCAGAGTGTTTGAAAGACTTGAAACCACACCCATATTTATACATTATGCACATCAGTAGCCTGACAAACTCTATGCTGGCAGGTCTGGTTAATCATCACAGCCAGGATAATAATCCGCCGAGAACAATTAACAATACAGTTCAGTCCGTAATAAAAAATACGTAGAAAAAAGTACAGAGATAAAAATATCATTGCAGACATATATATTAGATCTATCAACACATATATCAAAACATTTATAAAAATAATTAAAAACATGTATGGATCAGATTCCAATCAGGTAAAAGACACACCTATTATAAGTATTAGTACGAATAAAACATGAAACCAATTTTCTCATTTATTTTCTCATCTAGGGAAAATACATATACATATCCATACACACGTGTACAGGCCTATACAGTATGTAGGCCTTCAAATATATACATTTATGTGGGGAGAACAATCATAATCCTGCTCCCATTTTATTCTAGAGAAAATGTTTGATCTCAAACTCTTGATTCAAATTGCTAGGGGTGAGAGTCTGAAGAGTGGAAACTTTCTCCTTTGAGAAGGAGGGTATATAAATTGTCTCTTCTTCTTGGATGCCAATGTATCTGAGAGAGGCCACTGGATGATTTGCCTCTCTGAAATGCACTGCCACCGCGTTACGTTGGTCCTTATTAAAAAGGTTTTTGTGGCAGTGAGTAAGTATGCAGGATTTATTGTTGTTTTTTTTCATTGATGTGAATGAAACTTACAGTGAAGTTGAACAGGTAGGCTTTGTATGGCAATTGTAGGGGTGTTGATTATGCTAATGATGGTTGTTGTTGTGTTGTCAGGCCAAAATTAGTGATTTATGTCACATTTGTGTGACATTAGGAGTTAAGACTGAATCTGAATCTGACTTGGAACATTCAGTTTTGATAGGAAAGCATGTTTATTAACTTTACTGTTGCCATAGAAATTGCATCTCATCATCAGTCATATCAGAGGGTGTAGTGTTAGAGAACGGTGAGCCCAAAGAGACAGTGTTAACTACGAAAATCTTACATTGCCCCAAAAACTGACGTCCAAATGTTTCTCATGTCACTGTGAGTGGATGAGCCTTTAATCGAGATTTAATCCGTTAAAAGCTTTGTAATGAACTGCTTGATCAACTGCATGTTTACAGATTGAATTTTCTGCTAATTGACTAAAGTTGTTATATTTTATATCTGCCTACCTTATTTTAAAAAAAAATTCTGTCTGTGAGTGTAAAAGTTCTTTTGGATCTATAAGGATTTGTCCATTGCCACAAGGTTTATAGAAAAGTAATTTTATCATACTTATCATAGATTAAGGAATACAATCAATTTATTTAATTCTAGGTTTTTTTAGACTCACTGCCTGAAATATATAGGGTAAAATAAAGATAATATTCATTGCTGGGGAAAGTGTTCTGCAGTACTGGTGTCATGTTTTATATATTTAAAGTTGAGATGGTCATTTTAATGTTGAATAGATTCGAACCAGGCTTGAAAACCCCATTAATTAGACATTTTGACACTTTATAATTTAAACTCACATGCTTAAATTATAACAATGACAATCTGAAGGAGCTGGCCAGATGTTCAAATGCAGCAGTACTGAATCATGTATCGTTGATGGTGTAAACGTCCTTCTGTATTCTGATTTTGAGCCTTTTTCTGTCCTGCAGGTCCCTACAAATGAACCAGCTTCAGATACTGAGGGCAAACACATTCTTTAAGTACCAGAACCTACAGAAACTGTGAGTTTCCATGTACTATGCAATGCATTTTATTGAATATATATAATTAGGGCCTGAGCACTGACCGTGTGAAGGCCCTATTGTAATTGAAGGAATTCTTTTCCTTATTTTTCCTCCCAAACAAACGCATATTTGGAGGCTTTCCCGTGCTTTTAAACTCATGAAACGCGGCACACATGTCAGTCGTGACGAAAAATTTCATATTTTCTAGGGGTCCATTATGAGCAAAACAAAATGGTCCCTCAGGGGCCCATAAACTGTACCACCCGGGGCCCCTCTCACCGATATTCATAAAAATCGTCAAACGCGTAGATCTTATCCAGACAAACGAAAAAACCAGTGGGCATCATATCCCAAACCCAACAGGAAGTCGGCCATTTTGGATTTAGCAGCCATTTCTGGCAATTTGCACACGTTGTATTTGAACTCCTCCTCCTAGGGAATTCATCGGATCAACTTCAGATTTGGACACATAATATAATATATTGGCCAAAAACATTCACCATTAAAAGCTGTGCTATTTACGACATTCCGTCAAACGGCGTGCACGTTGCTAGGCGTGGAATTTCAATGACTCGCCATGAAAGAGGGATATGTCATAACTTCTGCGTACATGATCCGATCTCAACGGAAGTAAGCACTGCATTGCGATTTTGATCTGATTTCCGTGAAATTTTCATGTTGTGATCCACACGTGTTACGCCTGCACATGACGCGTCACAGCGCACCCCAAGTTGCGTGGAGTGCGAGGGCCCGTTCATCGCAGCTTTATTTATATTAAATACAGTACATATATTTTATTATTTTTGTTTTATTTTATTTTACATTCCAATTTGTATTACTCTCCTATCTAATTGTTATTTTTCATTGGTCTGTCCTTTATTCAGTCTTGTTCTGATAAGCATCATGTATAATATATTGTAGTTTGAAGTTACCTTTCAAGATTAAACATGCATGTGTGGGGCATCCTGATAGCTCACCTGGATTTAATGGCATGGTACCGAGGATGAGTCCTTGCTGTGTGTCATTCCCAACCAAAAAATCAATGAATAATAAAATAGTAAAACTTTAGCATGCGTGAGAGCCTACACTATTCATTCAGAAAAGCACAATGCCTTCACCTTCATGATACCAAAGAGCCGAGATAATGACGAGCCATTGAGTGTCAATTGCCTGACAATTCACAACACACAAGTTTCACAACTACAAAGCCGATCTGTGTGAGGCTATGATGACTACTGGGAACGCTGCCAACAGTTATTGTTTTGTCCTGCGCACAGATTCATTCATTGCAGACTTGCGTTGTTTATCAACCTCTCACAGTGCCACAGACTGGCAGCAGGAGAATAGGTCTGATCCTCCGCCAGCAACCATTTGGCTGTGTCAGGCTGTCAGCCTTCAGTCGCTGCTCTGAAGGTTTGACCAGATTGAGAACTTGCCTGAGATATGCATAAACAAATATCAGAATGAATTGCCAGGTGTGTAAAATACACAAATAGACAAAACAAAGCTGTAAGAGGAGGTTTTTTGAGCTCACAGTATGTGCTAAAAAAGAAGAATTCAAGGTATTTGACAGACACTGGTTGTATCATATAATACTAATTTCTCTCAGCTGGGCTAATATCCCTATTTAAGCTTTTTACTTTGTGTAAACAACATCTATTTCTCCCTCAAACAACCAAATTCAAAAATTGCTTGTGTCTGTTTCAATAAACCAACAGACTCAAGAGTTATTACATTTTTCTCTCATTGTTCATTTGGAATTCAAATGCTTCACAAATAGTTTTGTGCTTTTTCTACATAGATATCTCCAGCACAACAGGATCCGAGATGTGAGTCCTGACGCATTCAGAGGGCTGTACAATTTAACAAGGCTGTAAGTTCATTCACCTTTGTTATGCGTACTGTTCAGGAATAAGGCAAGCAGCAGTATAGGCTGTACTTCTATGTATGTACAAAGAATGAAGCAAAACGTTAGCTGAGGCAGGCCACTGGAGTTTCATTCATGCTTCGCAATCAATCATCTTATTCACAGCCGTCTGTGTCAGATTTTTCTAAATCCTGCTCAGAGAAAAGTCAGCTTCTATGTAAACTTTCATAGCTCTCTAAAGGAAATGTAGCCAATTTTATTGAAATATGACATTATTCTTATTTCCTTTTATTTAAGTACATTTGCCAATGCCAGTTCTTATTACAGATGATGAACTCAACAGTTGTCGGCATAACTCTCACTACAGCTTGTTAAGACACAGTTATGTGACTTGAAAACCATGAAAGTGCAACTCTTCCAATTTGAAATGTACACTTTTTTCTAATGACTATTTAGATAATAACGCTCTTGTGGCTGAATGGGAACAAATCCCTGAAGCCAGGTTCTAAAATATTATAGAAAGCCTGCATCCCTGTAGCTTTAAAATGACATATAGGTTTAATGTTTTGGTGTCCACATACTTTTGGCAATGTGGTGAATCCTTGTTTCCTGACATTATCAAAGCTTGGTTGTATGTATACACATTGTGAGATAGTACAATGCATATAGTTACCAGTAATGAACATCATGTAAACAGTAAGTATAAATGCAGTCAGAATACAACATACTGTTGAGACTATTGTATAGTAATAAAAGCAACAGGGAGCAGGTTTTCCCATTAGTTTATTCAACATGTCAGAGAGCATCCTCTTCAGGTAACCTTCTAAACTCTTTCCTCTCTTAGATATCTGAGCTACAACAAGATATCTGTCCTGATGCCTGGGGTGTTCCGGGACCTGCATAAGCTGGAGTGGTTGTATGTTTATTCTCTACTGAAAGAAAGTTCTGCACCAAAGGAATATAAATAGTATAGGATGTTTTACTTTATGTACTGTAAGTATTGGTTTGCTATAGGCAAGGTCAGTTTTGAGATAAACATTTCTTGCATTGTTTTCTTTTTGTTACACACAGGTAATACATCACACATATCTCTCTTGATGCTGTTTCTTCTGAATCAATATTCTACAAATAAGGCTGAAAGTATAAACTAAATTTTTTGTTGTAGGATCCTGGAAAATAACAACATCCATCAAATATCCTCCATGACCTTTTCTGGACTAAACTCCCTTGTTTTACTGTGAGTTTTATTCTTATTCTGTTTTGCTTGGCTTTACTTTGTTGTGATGTCCTCTCAAATCATCAAAAGTTCTGGTATTACGACACTTTGTTGATAAGTTTAGATTGAATGAGTGTTCTTCCTTTGAACATTGAAAGAGAATGTACTACACCTTGTTACACTGTGTGTCAATGATTGACAGGGTTTTGTTGAACAACTCTTTGACAAAGCTGGATGACATCTGTCGAGAAATGCCAAGATTGAACTGGCTGTAAGTAGGATGTCAAGAAATCAAAAGCTGTCTTGTCATAGAAGTGACATGTCTTTTGATGAAATTTATTCTGTCTGTGTGTTTGTGCTTGTGTGGTGTGTGTGCATTTCGTAACATGTTCTTGCAGGGATTTGGAGGGAAATCTCATTGAAACTATTGGAAATGTCTCATTACACTCATGCAGTATGCTGACAGTTCTGTAAGTACACATTTACATATTTCAGTCCACAGCAAAGGCAATGTTTTTTGCTTAAAATGTATTTGTTGTTTGCTTGAATTTCTGTGAGAGCCTTGCAAATCAGCCTCACTTTCTCAATATTTAAATTACATCATGGAATTAAGCATGGCATCGTTACGGCATTGATTCATTAAATGGGATTAAGAAGGTGAAAAAGTAGTAATGTGATTCTATTTTTGCATTTATTGCCAGGGTTTTGCAGCGGAACGAGATCAGCAATATACACGAACAGGCTTTCTCAGTCCTCCAAAAGCTCGGAGAATTGTAAGTTATTTTTGTTTGATTATGTAAGCAAAACTGTATAGGAAAAAAATCTAAATTTTTAGGATTGTGTGAAAAAGAAGTTGAAGTGAAGCAATTTAAATGTGGATAATGCTGAACATGTGTTACAAGCGACGACTCTACAAACACCCGCAGAAGAGGAGGAAATGAGAAAACACTGCTGAGAGATAAACAACTTGATTTCTGCCTACTAGCTGTGAGGCCTGAGGATGGTTATTTGGACCTTTGGTTTGTTTGTGTTTCAGTTAGTGGGTGTTTTCCAATGCTTTGTTGTAAAGCAACATATCTCAGAACTTCTGGGCAGATTTTAGAAATATTTTTGGCTCCCACAGGATGATTCTTAGTTTTTTAATTATTGTGTTGAGAGTCTGAACTTTTGTCAGATCAAAATTTCCACTTGGGTTATGGGTCTTAGAGGCTTTTTTGCTTGTCCCATCATGATACACATGCGTACCAGTTTTCGTACATGTCGGTCATACATGTCTTGGGGCTGATTCTGGGGGACATGGCTAAGCCATTTTGCGACGCCCATCTACAGGACCAAGACAATACCTTAGCCTTCACCACGACTGAATTTTGTGCAAAGTTTCATGAGTTTTTAGGCATGTTTAGCCCCCCCCCCCAAAAAAAAAGTGTTCAAATGTTAAAGGAAAAGCTGATTTTCGCTGCGTCTCCATGGCAACATGGTTCCACACAAATTCTTAAGATTCATAAAATGTCATTGTCATCGTCCTGAGGAACTTCTACATAAAAGTATAAAAATGACATTTCCTTTCACCACTAGGTGGCGCTCTCACTATTACTGAACGTTATCACATAGACGTGTTCAGGGCGGGACTCTTATTAAACATGTAAAGTTTTTTTGCAATCGGATCATGTACGCAGAAGTTATGACGAATCCCTCTTTCATGGCGAAGGTTCGAAATTGGATGCCACGGGACGCCACGCCACATCCGGTGTTCGACGGAATAACGTGAATAGCACAACTTTTAATAGTGAATGTATTTAGATGGCTGTGTCCAAATCTGAAGTCGGTCCGATAAATTCCCTAGGAGGAGTTCGTTTAAATACAATGTGTGCAAATCACGGAAAATGACCACAAAATTCAAAATGGCCGACTTCCCGTTGGGTTTGCGGTATTGGTCCAAGAGGCTTTTCTGCTTCTTTTATCACGATACACATGTGTACCGCTTAGCCATTTGGCAGCGCCCGTGCACGGGGACAATTGCATACGTGAATTTTCGCCACGATTGAATTTTGTGCAAATTTCCATGACTTTTTGAGCATGTTGCGGCCGCCAAATATGCAGTCGGAGAGGCTGAAGAAGTTGTTTTGATGTAAATGTTGTCGCTGATGAGTAAGATTCAGATTTTAGTGTAGGTAAGGAAAGAAAGAAAAAAGAAGCATTTGAAGTAAATGCAGCTCACCCATAACCTTAATCTGTTCAGATAGTTACAGTGATCTTGACCCCCTTCCCCTCAGAAGTGATGAACCGTACACTGCACGCATCCTCAGGAGAACCTTATGCCGTGCAGCCACGACAGATTTTGTGAGGACTGAGACTCTCACTTGTTATCGACTGTAAAAGCTCACACTTTCCTTCAGCTATGATCGTTGTCACCATAGCTGTCTCCATTCACCCATGTAACCACAGCCAAATATAGTTCAAGTTCATGCACTGGCTTTTGGGACTTATGAAAATCTTGGGTGCATCAAAAATGTGCATTACATTCTCAATTCATAGAGACAATATTGCAAGGCTGTTGTTTTCAGTGTGTGTGTTATGCAATCCGCCCCCTGAACGTTGCATTTTCCTTTTTAAGATCTGTGTGCATCTGTCAGATACCCAGTGTTGTACATCAATATTTGTTTGTTGTTTTGTGTTTTTGGGGAACCGATGTGGATTTGTTTCTGCGCACAGGGATCTATCCAACAACAGACTGGTGGCGATCCCTCCCAATCTCTTTGTCTTACTGGGGGATTTGCTCCAACTGTGAGTGTTGTTTACACAAATACACTGGGATATACAGTTATGCATGCAAGCATACCTATTCCATGAATAGTTAATAGGGTTTATCTTTTGATTCTGTCAGGAATTGACAATGGAGTCGTTAGTAAGGTTATTATATAATACAAAAGTTCACCCCTAATATGTACTTTCAGTGAGTGCGGGTAAATATCCTTTGAAATTGTAATCCCTAAAATTTTGGTCACATAACAGGGCACAGTAAAGTTTGTTACCTTTCTGTGTGCAGGTTGTCTCCTTTAACTCTTTATCTAACAGTGAACTATGGTGGTTCCTTCTTGATTCATTACTGTTTTAATAAGTGAAAAAAAAAAATCACCATTGTTTTGGTATGTAGATTCATTTTTGCATTTCCTGTGGCTGCTTCGCAATTAAAGCCACCCTGTGATTCCCTAGTTGAATGCTATTATTGTGAAGCGGCTGTGGGATGTTCTGTTTGCATTAGCAGTAATTTAATACAGCTCTGACACAGTGTAAAGCCAGTGAAAAGTAAACAGAGCAAGGCTGTAATCAATAAGATCAAATTTTGCTGAATTACAAGCTATTTAATTTTCCTGTAATTTCCTCATTCTAAGTTAGGCAATCTGAATTCAACACATTAATAGCAGACTCTGCCACTACCAATAAATACTACTATATACAGAGATAACTACTGATTTTAAATACAGTGATTGACAATTGCAAAATAAAAATGGCCATAAATAGTATAAAAAATGGGGTTTGATTTGATTCTTAAAATCTTAAAGATTGTAACTAAACATTGTCACTAATGTTACATCTATTGTCAAGGAACTTTAGCATTGTAGGGTGCTTTACTATGTCCTTGTCCTACTAAACATAATGTGTAATGTACTTTTATGTAATTAGTAAATTGGATTTATTTCGATGTTATCTAATTGATTTTCATTACTGCGTTTCTTATCTTTGTCTTTCAGGAATATATCATACAATCCCATTGTGGAGCTCCAAGTTGACCACTTTGACAAGTTGCATAAACTGAAGTCATTGTAAGTATACATTACTAAATGCTGAATGACTCTTGCAACTAATCCAAAACATGTTGCACATAGAAAAATAGCCCTGTTTGTGTTAAAAAAGCAAGAGCTTTCCTGTTACATGTTTAAGGGTTCAGAAGAGCAGCAAACATACAGACAGACATGTGTGATGGCCTGGATAATGAAAATATAAAAAAGACCCTGACAAGCTAGGAGGAAATCATTATTCTGTCAATGTTGGCCCATTTTGGGAGGGTCACAGCATTTGCTGAATGGTGGTCAAGCATGAGATACAAGCATGAGCTCACACAAATCTGTATGAACAAACGAAAAGAAAATGTATTTGGGAAAGTATAACTGTTTCTCATTTAGTCTTTGAATGGCTAGTTGCTGAGGAGAACCTTTGGTGGAAACATTTTTGTGTGCTTTTGAAGACTTTTAGAATAGTGTACAATTATAAATCAAAACTGTATTATATCAATATGTCTGTATATTTTCTAGGAGCATTGAAGGAATTGAAATTGAAAACATACAACGGAGGATGTTTGAACCTCTCAAATATTTGACTCATATGTAAGTACTCCTTTGTCATGTTATGTGTTTAAACTGTTAATTCTCTTAATTTGACTGTCACGTAGACCATAGGCCTTTCACATGTATTTCTAGCAGTGAGTCCCCAGCTAGCCTTATCGAGACTGTCAGGCTTCTTTTCCAACTGGGAGATGCTGGAGTCAGGCTTAGTGTAATCCATCTTTTCTGTGAGTGAAACAGCCCGAGATACACCCATGCAGGTCCTGGAATGGATGCAACAGAGAGAAAGTAAATGCCCTTTCAGCCTTTTTACAGAAGCTCTTCAAGGCTCTTTTTTCTCCAGAGTTTTATTTAAGTACCAGGAATATACAGTTAGATAAAAATGGTTTGTTTGCTCAAATAGAGTCTCTAATCTAAGCTGGATGGATTGCCATGAAGCTTTGTACATCATTCATGGTCCCCAGATGAAGCTTACTGACTTGGTGATCCTGGTTTAGAATTCAGATGTCTTCACACTGGGTGGCCAATTGACACTTTTCACATGCTTTCATGTCACACGTCAATTTCAAATTCGTAACTGATAACGTAGCAGTGTGCACAGACAGACAAGTTTCAGACCATCAAGGGGAAAGTGAGAAATATATACATATCTATTGTAATTTATTCCTATACCTGCAGAGTAATCTCAGTCAGCAGCTGTTCTGGTAGCAGCACAGCGCCCCTCTATCTCTCTCTCTCTCCTCGTCTCTCTCCCTCTCTCTCTCTCACAGACAGCAGTGAGAGTAACTTACTATGGTTACGGGGACGCTCTGCATCTCTGTGGCTCTGAAACTTTCTCATGATTTGCAAGAGGTTTTTAGCAGAATCATGGATGTAAGTTATCCTAAATGATAAACTATAACATCATTTTACATAGTTGGTTAACATTATATAGGGTAGCCAGTATGATCTCAGGAAGCCTTAAAGCAATCCCTCAGGAGAAAATGTAATTATCTCTGCACACAGGACTGTCTGATCAACAGGCTTTTTCCAAGAGCCCAACGTACATAGTTTGTGTGGCTTTAGTTGACAGAGGCGTTAACAGATACCGCTCCAACATCAAACACCTTGAACACCATGTATGCAGTGTTGCCTCACTGCTTTTCAATTTCATATCTATGCCAAATTTTAAAAAAATAGTTTAAAAAAAATACAACTTTTGATGTGATTAAGACAGGTTTAATTAATTAGGCTCACCAATAATGTGACACTAGAAACCCCTGGAGGTGAGTACTACAAATTTGGAAATCAAATCATCATCATGCATTGGTATTTATCCTAGCTCTTTTTATCAGACAGTACCATTGGCTTAATTTATCTGCCAAAGTGTCAGACGATGAACTGCCTTTTGTCTTATCAGTAAATATGTGTTAAAACACCTCTGATATAATTGATAAGAAAAATATAACAAATCCAAACACAATATTTCAGCTAAGAACTCCTTCCTTGTCTTCTATTCCTTGGCTGGCTTTCTAGATTAATAAAATCTGTTGTTGTTGTTTTCTGGACAAAATTATCTTGCGGGATGCACTGTCTTTGAACAATGTGTTTTTATTCCTTTATTTAATTTTCATACAATGGTACTGTTTGTTGATTCTCCTGAGGGTCCCATTTCTCAATGCCTCCTTACCCCATCGTTCTGAATTCACATCTCAGCAACAAAAAAGACTCCATAAACAGCAACATTCTCTGATCCCCAATACCCTGGTTAGGTTAGGTTGACAAGTATGCTGATCTACCGTACTTATTCATCATTGACCATAATTATTGACCTTTCTTTCATCTGCTGCTTTCATCTTCCATATGCTTTAAAATTGTGTATTTCTCTGAACTTTTTAAACTACATTTGTGGGGGTTGAGGAGTGACGACCCCGACCCCTGCAGTGGTCACAGAAGGCTGACTCATAAAATGCACCAACTTTAAATCTCACTCCAAACTAAAGTGAATAGTTAGCAGACCTGTCTCTACTACTATTGGACAAGTTGTCATAAAGTTAGGTATGGACATTCATGCTCTCCACCAGGATAAATTAGCTTTGTTGATTCTGACTTTGCAGCTGTGCTTTGCTTGCATGCTAACACGCTAACCATACCTGCTTAACATTAGCATGTTAACATTGCCATTGTATTTTAGATCTTTAGCATGGTCTTTAGCATTCAGTTTAAAGCACCACTAGCATGGCTTTAGTTGTAAAAAGTGCATTATCTGTACTGGATACCCATTTGAGCCTACTCACTCAACCCTGTCAAAAATAAATAGAAGCTTTGAAAGAAGAAAACAGATTTTTTGATTAAGTTTACTACCTCTAAAGCCCCGCAACCCAGTGCTACCCATTTTTCAAACCCTTTATTCAAGCAAAATCAAATCTTTAGTCAAAATCATCAAACCTTTTTTTTTTTTTTTTCTGTTTCTGCTTTCCAATTGTCTCGACAAAAAAAGTTGTTAAGGTGTGTGGACTGCACACTCACCTATACAAACCCAGTAAATAAACTCCCTTATTTCTTTTTCTTAACTTGATTTTCTTCTTTAATCTATTATCACAGCTACTTCAAGAAATTCCAATACTGCGGCTATGCTCCTCATGTGCGAAGCTGCAAACCCAACACAGACGGCATCTCGTCCTTCGAGGACCTGCTGGCCAACATCGTGCTGAGGGTCTTCGTCTGGGTGGTCTCTGCCACCACCTGCTTCGGCAACATCTTCGTCATCTGCATGCGCTCCTACATCCGATCAGAGAACAAACTCCATGCCATGTGCATCATCTCCCTCTGCTGTAAGTCACACTGCATTTAAGGGAGGGATGTAGTGGAAACTGGATTTTTATTTGCGGAATACGTTTTACCATTACTACAGTATGTATATATGTATATATAGGTATTATCCAGTCTTTTCTGTGAGTCATACAGATATAGATGGTGTGGTATTTACTGCCAAATAACACTACACTAACACTAAAGTATACTTATATTTATATTTACCTCTTCATTATGTTTATAAACCGGACTATAGTCTCTGGAATTATGCCAGATACAACTACAGAAGGGGAAGGTGGAAATTCTGCTAAATAATTTAGTTTCCTGCTTTTGAAGTAAACAGACCTATGAACTCAGTAGGACATTTTAAATGAGTTCCCAGTGTGCTTATCAGTGTGCTTCATCAACAATAATTTTGTATTGTGTACACTGTTAGACACCCTCATGAATAATACTAAATGTAGAAATAATACAATCTCATTCCAAAATGTGATTTTTGCCATCCGAATTAAAATAAATTATTCACAGCATAATATTGGCACAAAATGGTAACTGCTCAACGGTCCAGTGAAGGCAGTGGTTCATTCACAGCACATTCACTGACTCATCTACCAAGATAATTATCATTCAGATAACTTATACAGTAGCTATGTCAATTGGACTTAGTGTTTTCCCCAAGTGTTTATATACTTTTAGAATGTAACTTATGCTATAGTATGTGCAGTGCAGACAAAACCTGCTAAAACTACTTCGTGTGACTGCATTGGTATATATCAAAATGTATCAGCGTGGTGTTTGGATACCCAACTGTATCTACTGCAGGTGTGTGATGGCATTCAGATAAGGGCTGTAAGAGTTCATTGAAGGGCTTCTTCTTCCACAGGAACAAATACTTTGATTGCAGTGAGAAAGTTCCTTAGGAAATAGAGCAGAATTTATATTAAGATTACTGCACAGATAAATAAAATCAAATAATGCATTTTCCTTCACATTTTGGCACATTAGCTTCTAATTGACATTCAGCATGGGTCTCACTATGACATTATAAGTCACAGGAGGAAAGTGAATTCATGAAAGTAAGATAACATAAAGCAAACAATTCCACCTTTAGACAAACTTGCTGTTACAGGAAGTTGCTGAATGGATCTATGCAGGTGTAAAACCAGATATTGTACATTAACTTTATGGTTATCGTTCCCAAGAGGGAATTTCTTTTGAATAGAAACTGCACGGAGAGAAAACATAAACGCGCAAAATATTTAGGAAATAAATGGTGTGTCTGTGCCTACGGTCGCATTTTACATCTATAAGTCAAACATAAAGGATCCTATGTGGACTAAGTCTCAGAGCCGTTGAGATCAAAGAGCTCAGAATATGTGGATGTATGCTCGCTTTCCTGCTACATCCACAATGAAAGCCATGCGGAGGATGACAGTCATTATTCATTATCTGCTTTTGTGGTTCACTTAATATGGCGACCTTTAAAACTTTATTACCAGAATGTCAGTGGGGGCTGTTTTTAACAGCACACTAATTTCTGCTGGCTGAGACCAGACAAAAACAGAGCATAAGGTAATTAGCACAAGCGAAAATGTCTCCATATTATTCATTCTTTGCTTCTTTTTAACAACAGTGGTTTATGCGTTTCTTCATGTGAGCAGGACGTGTCTGAATGTTGCTTTTCATTCAGTTATTAAAGTCTGGAAAGAAAGAAGGCACAAACAAAGCAGAGACATTCAGATAAGAGTGTGGTTTGGTTTAGAACCAGAACAAGAGTTGCGAGAATGATTCTTCCTACGCTGTAAATGGACTTGCATGAGGTCATTCAATATGGTATCATTTGATGTTACCTTATGTCTTTTCACACATTTATCACCCATAATTCTCTGCCTTTCTGTATCTAACCTTTGCTACACCTTTTCTATTTATTATAGTTTTTAAGAATGTAGTGCTGGTTTTCTATATCCTTCCTGCCTTATGTTAGAGAGTACTTTGAGCCCGCTTGAGTCAGCCAGAGGTCAATTTATACTTCAACTTCAACACTAATGTACTCATATAGGAGTATAATGCATCGCTTTGTATCTCATAATTCAATAACTAAATAGCAATTACAAAAGCAGCTAGACAGGCAAAACATATTATGTTGAAGATTTTGCATTGATTGACACTTAAAGGTATGTGTCAGCTCCGAAAGTTTTCATTCAGATTATGCACAGCAAAGCTTCATCTCAGCTGTCCCATCCAATTTTCACATGACGAGTATAAGGGGAGTCTTTAATGAGGATATATACAGTGTGTGTGAAATTAAAAATGCTTTTTCATGAGCATTGGTATTGCTTCCATATCAAAGGATTTATTCTCAGGAGGGTTTGGGTAATACCTTTTTCTATATTATCAAAGAAACATTAAGTAGTGACTGATGATGAAGGAGTGGCGAGTTCCTCAGAGGATGCAAGTTGTGAATTTAATTTCTGCTTCGACAAAGTGTCAGCAAACACATTGTGGTGGTAGGCCTAGGGTAGAAAAGTACATAGTTGTAAAAGAAAATACCATGTGGAATTGGGATTTATTTATTATTTTGTTTGGTTGTTAGCTTTTCGTAGGCAAGACTTTGAAAACGTTGGGACTGTGGGCCAGATGCAGAAACATCTGTGTAGATTAAAAGCCTACAGCCTGTTCATGAAAGCAGCAACATTATACAGTTTTATTAGATGTACAGTATCCCATATACAAGTACTCTTTCTTATCATCATGTATTTATGTGCACATTATTACTGCCTAGCCCACAATTATCCATAAATAGGGTTCCCACGCATCCTGGAAATTAAGAGACCATTTTGCCAGTCATGGAAACACCCAATTGATTAAAATGACCAAATATCCAGGAAATAATCTATGCTTCCATGGACAATATAATTGCATTTTAGCCCCTCCCTCAGATCGCCTACGTAAACCTGGTTGCGTATTTAGTTTGACTGTTGGTTGGATGAGCTACATGGTATTACACTTCAAAGCGGGAGACATGAAGCACAACTGACTTGCAGTGATCTTTTTGCCGATGATCAGTGGTGGACATTAATTGCAAGAACTAAACAAACTCGTGCATAAGATCTAAAAATAATTCTGAATATATAGAATATAGTGGCATGAAAACTGTGTAGCATACATTCAACCCCCTCTTTGTTATGCTGCACAGTGTTTTAGAAGAGCACAACTGGCATGGATATGAATCTACATGCATACAGCCCATTAATGATCCAATTTAAATGTGTTGTTGTGCTTGATAAAAAGATACAATGATGTCAACTGTACAATACATGCAACAGACCCTGTCACTCTCTACTTCTTATTTTATTGGCTGAATGAAGAAGAAGTAAATATTCTACTTAATTTAAACTATTAATGTTACTATTAGAGGAAAATTGTAGTAGACTATTTTCAATTCACTGTAGCTCTGCTCCACTTAAACCGAAGCAGAAAAGAAATCAGTGGTTATGAGAACAGCCAGGCTGTAATGAACCACGAGGGATAAAACTGTGTCAGTTAAATGTGTCAGTATTTGGCCTACTGGTAAATTATATGACCATTGGTGAGCAAGTGCTGTTCTGTTTTGTCAAGAAAAACTACTGAAAAATGTCCTGGAATGATCCTGAAAAGAGATTTATTAAAAACAGCGGGCACCCTAATAAATATTCCTATGTAGATGTTAATGATAATGACGATAATACCCTCTTTAACCTTTGGACAAAAGCCAAATACAACATCCTCAAACAGTACCAAAGCAACCATTTGATTGATGACACATGAGTACAGGAGGTCAAAGCTATTATCCAATGTGTGATTTTTACCATGTTACTGTAGGATGAGTGTACTTATTCACACAGGAATAGAATTATCAAATTTTAAAGGACTAGTTGAACATTTTGGGTAATAATCTTATTTGCTTGTGGCTGAGAGTAAGATCAATACCACTTTCAAGCCTAGCCATTAAATATGAAGTTACAGCCAGCAGCCAGTTAGCTTAGCTTAGCATAAAGACAGGAAACATCTTAATCTGTAAATTAATGACAATTTGCCATTTTAGTGCTCCAGGAAGTTTCCCTTTTCCATTATCTTCTTCCCTTCCCTTTCTGTCTTGTGTTGTTGCTTTGACCTTCAGCTTCTAAAAGTCTGTGTATGCTTGGAGTAAAGCATCTATACATACAGTATATTCACAACACTGTATTTATTTTTATAAATACACACCATATTTGGAAGGCTACACATGCAATGTTTCTGTGCATATCCATTATTACATTTGACCTTGACTGGCAATTAACATTCCAACATGATTATAGTTCTACACGTTGCCACCAGGGCTTGGATTATTATTGCTGTTCTGCAGGGTTGAGATCAAATGCCAGTTGTGCTCTTCTAAAACACTGTGCAGCATAACAAAGAGGGGGCTGAATGTATGCTACACAGTTTTCATGCCACTATATTCTATATATTCAGAATTATTTTTAGATCTTATGCATGAGCTTGTTTAGTTCTTGCAATTAACGTCCACCACTGATCATAACAGCATTTAGTGATTTGTCCTTGGTTCCTTTTCTTATAGTTGTATTTCCAAAGTTGAGTGACTGCTATCCGCCTGCTTGTCATCATCCATCTCCACAATATAGACAGGAAGCCTTTCATGTAGGGCCATGTCTATACTTGGTTTGATTCGGTTCTCACTTCGAAGAAATTGCATTGCAGTTCCTTTGAAAGAGAACTGCTTCAAAAAGACCTGCTTTATCAGTCAGTGTTGGTCTTTGTTTGGAGTTCAAATACATTCATTCAATGAACCAAGCTTAAGGTGTGAACACTTGGATGGACGCTGGATCTGAATGTGTCTTTAAAGATTTGAGAAAGAATTTTTAACCCAATCGTTACAGTCAATACATTTTTTGGAATATGTTGTCAAATAGAGCTCTCTTTTCTTGCAGGTGCAGATGGGCTGATGGGAATTTACCTTTTCATGATCGGTGCATATGATCTGAAGTTCCGTGGCGAGTACAACCGGCACGCTCAGGCTTGGATGGACAGCAGTCAGTGTCAGGTCATTGGATCTTTGGCCATGTTGTCCACTGAGGTATCAGTCCTTCTCCTCACGTACCTCACTCTGGAGAAATATATCTGCATCGTCTACCCTTTCCAGTACTTGACTCCTGGCTGGCGACGAACTGTCACCATCCTTCTCGGGATATGGGTGTTTGGCTTTATTGTTGCCTTCCTGCCCCTGGCCTGCAAGGGGCTGTTTCGCAACTTCTACGGGACCAATGGAGTTTGCTTTCCACTGCATTCTGAGCAGCCAGAGACACTTTGGGCACATGTTTACTCCATTGTCATCTTCCTGGGTGGGCATTTATTCTTGCAATAGTCCTTTGAGCTATTTTGTTGTGTTTATATTAATTTGCATAGCTTCGTTATTATTGCACAGTGCAAATATGAGCTATTGCATTTGCAATCCAGAAACTAACCAGATATTTCTCTGCAGGTCTGAACTTGGTGGCATTCCTCATCATTGTCCTATCCTATGCAAGCATGTTCTATAACATCCAGAGAACAGGGACTCAGACCACTAAATACAGCAACCACATCAAGAAAGAGGTGACCATCGCCAAAAGGTTCTTCTCTATTGTCATTACTGACTCCCTTTGCTGGATCCCCATTTTCATCCTCAAGATCCTGTCACTGCTGCAGGTGGAGATTCCCGGTACAGTAAAAGTGCTATAACCATGTAAAGGGTTACTCCACTGGAAGTCTACATTTTGAGTATCAAATACGCCTCCTCAGTGGGCTTGCAATGTTGTTCTGAAAACTTTGTAGCATGCTTTTTTGCGCAGAAACAGCAGCTGTAGTGTGCTTTAAATCACAGCCACTGACGTAAATCTTGGTTGCCATTGAATTCAGTGGCTAAAATAACCCTCAAAATGGCCATCAGAATTTCTCAAAAGAACTACGGCATAATCCACTTCTCTGCTGTTGCTCTCTTGCTCAGTTTTTTCCAAGTAACTGGCCACTTTGGGATAAACTTTGGAGCTACGACACAATAGCATGACACAGAAGTAAAGTTTATAGCTATGTTGTGACTACATCTGCCTTCCTCTGCAAAGCTACTAACTCTTCAGAGCCACATGTCAAGCCCATAGGGGGATGAGTGCTCAAAAGAGACATTTTGGTTGAGTATTTCTTTAATTGTATTTAATTGTATTGCATTTTCTGTATTATTAAACGTCTAAGTACTATGACAGGTGTTTAAACTAAATTTTAAAAGGTTTTTAAAAAGGTATTCACCACTGAATAAAGAGCATTTAACTGTAGACACCTTGGTGTTTTTAGCATGCACTTTATACCCAACTGACCATTTAATATTGCAGAAAGTCCATTACATACATAACCTTGTGAGCTCTGGCTTCCTAATTAGATGCCCAGGGGTAAAAGGGATTTTCATTAATTACATAAATGGCTTTGATTAAAGGATTTTATGTTTAAGTACTCTGCCAACTCACAACCATGATGAGCTCTGCTTAGTCCTGTTGTCTTACCTCTTCTTTTCTGTCTTTTTTCTCTCTGCAGGTACTATCAGCTCCTGGGTGGTCATATTTATTCTCCCTATTAACAGCGCCCTTAACCCCATCCTTTACACGCTGACCACACGGCCCTTCAAAGAGACCATTTTGCAGGTATGGGCTAATTACAGGCAGAAGAGGCCTCTGCTCAGTGGTCACCAAGCTCATCATCCGTCGCTCACCTGGCAGGAAATGTGGCCCCTGCAGGAGAACAGCCACGGCCTCACCATGGGGCACCCGCTGGAGCCAACAGGCACGCTAGCCAAGCTCACCCCGGTGGAAAACCCCAACGAGGGATACAATGACATTACCACGTGCACACAGCAACAGAAGCAACATACAGTGCTGTCAGTATGCTCACAGAAACAAACAGCGCCACACACACTCGCACACACCCACATATACACACAAACAAATGAACTCATCTAGGTATCGAACAGCAGCTACACAGATTTGTTCATAATGTCATCAAAGAGTCACCCTTAACAGATGATTCAGGTACATTCATCTCGACAAAGTGTTTGACCTTTTACTAATACTGTTTTTAAAGGGACAGTCCTTGATTTGTGCCCAGATTTGTCCTAAAAATAATTCATCTTCATTAGAGTTAGTGGAAATCCCACTGTGTGCATGTCTTGACCAAGCAGCAGCCATCATAGCAATGGGTGAAGTCAGTGTGGAAATCCCTTATGTGGCAGTACAGTTCATCTAATGAACACTACACTCCGAAAAGATATTAGTACAGAGCATAAGTCATGCCCCGCCTATGGTTTAGCTTTTATTCCACTTGGTCTCGGTTTAATTTCTCACAAAGGGCTTCTTTCATTATTCTTTCTGAAGGCTGAAACATTATATATTGTCCATACTCTTAGCTGAATATTCATCTACTACTATACTGGCAAGTAAAATGTTGACAACTTATCATTTCTATTAGTGATGAACGTAAACATATTTTGTTCAAATCCAATAACCACAAGTCCCGTTAACCATGTGACTCAAAACAAAATAGTTAATGTAGAAGGTTGTTCTTGCAAAATCCCTTACCAGCTTTTTCTGGACCTTTCAAACATATCTTGCTGTCTTCAGTCTAAAATATTAAAATTGTACTAGCCTTACAGTTGTATAATATGGACAAAGAAAACCCATATTATATCATAATATGTGCAGCTGTAAATCTGTCAATGCTGGTGGGGCAGATGATGTACACAGAGTGATATTAAAGTACAATGTGCGTCCGTGTACTGATGACATTTACACAAAGGCATTGCATGGGAGGGATAATTGTAGCTTTTCACTGCAAATGTCAAAAACAGGGCCATGTGCAAAGTATGAGGAAGTAAAAGATTTCCTTTTTGAAGCTCATTATGCTGCTCACGATCTATCTAAATTACATTAAAGACAATAAAAGAAACTTGAATTTGTCTTTTAAGTTTATTATAGATGCTGATGTCTCTCTCCCGGTCCTGAGTAATGATGTCTTAGGGGAACATTCTGTGACAGGAAAAACTGTAATCTGGTGATAATTACAATCAGTCACTGGGCAGTTCAGATGATGAAATTTGGAGTGTGAATCAACCCTGATAAAGCCTTTGTGATTGGGCCCATAAAATACATTGTGTGCTGTACTTACTAGTTTCATCTTGTATAAGATAATAATACATGCAACTTGCAGCAAAGAACTTTTTTAAGCCCTTCTTCTGGCATCCATCAAAAGTGTTTTTTGTGTTGCCACTGCCACCAAAATTTTATTTTAGGGAAATATTGAATGTAATGTATGAGATATGTCCAGTATGTTTATGAAAGAATGTACTTAATTTGGGCAGGCAGCAATTTTAAATAGTCTTTTATACATCCTGTCTAGAAATACCCCAGCTGGTCTGGGGGTTTGAACTTGGACTCAACCTCGCCGCACAAACACACCACACTACACATTTTTTACACTGTGATCTGTACAGTGAAGACTTTTGTACAGTGATCATAAACTCTTCTGTGCATACGTCGTTCATTGAACTACTGATTCCTGTGGAAAGTGACTTTTCCTGACATTGTTAATGTATGAATGTATAGCAGACATGCTATAACACAGATGGTGATGACTTAGTTATTAAAACAATGATTTGTGAATATGTTGTATGTGCCATTTGTGTTTACATAACATTCCTATACTGAAAAGACAGAGAAGTGAGGAGTTTGCTCATAATATCTGCAGGCTGAATTTGAATATTGTTGGGAAAAATGTTTTGAATGTGTTACCATTTCATTTGTTGTATTGACTTGTGTCCCACAATAAATTACTTTTTGTGTTTTTGTTGTTCTTGAGTGAAATGTGGACAATAAATATATGTACACTTCATATCTGCTTGTTGATATTTATTATTTTGTGCATATTTGTTATGCATCTTATTATTTTGGGCATTGTTTGGATTTTTAAAACTGAAACAATAAGTGATATAAGTTAATGAAGCAGAGTACAAATGTGTTTCATAGGTTTTTCTGACATATTGAGAATAGTACACAATGGTGGAAGTACTTGGGTCAGTACTTACAGTAAAAGTAGCAATAACACTACCTAAAAATACTTCACTGGCCTTGCATTTAAGCAGTTTATCATCTGCTGCCACTATGCACGTAGGTGCACAGCTATGCATCAACCTAAGTACTTCCAAAAAAGTTGACAGGAGTTGGCCTTTAATGGCAGAAACTGTGAAACTGAAAACATTGCACTATTGGATAAAACACAACAAACTCAATCATACTGATTACAAAGTCATAAAACTGTAAGATACCATAAACAAAAGTTGGAGCAAAGGATTTGTATAAATGTACAACTAACAAAACTTGATTCCCAAAGACTAACTTGACTGTAAAGTGAAAGAATACATTGTAAGTCATAGTAGGTAGAACAGTAATAACAAAACAGCTGTAATAAAGTGCCAACAGATAACGCTTTGAGAAGGGCACACAACGGGTGATAAAAAAAGGCTGTCACCTTCAGATTTTTTTCTTATCAGGTTATTTTTTATTTCACCATTATAATTCTTTTTGATACTCCACTCAATTTTTGTGTTTACCCACAAACCGCTTTAATCCCCCCCATAGAATTTATCAGCTGTTGTGAAAACAAACAAATCCAACATTCTTCAAAGGCAGGGAGGAAATCAAATGAAATGCTCAATGCCTCAGTTGCAGCAGTTAAAGGTCTGAAAACATGGCTTGTTTTCTTTGTTTTTCACTCACACAAATGTACTTAGTTACACTCAACCACTAACAAAAACAAAGTAAATACTATAATTTTCACTAAGTTCACAGACCACAAACTAACTACATCCAGTAGCTTCAGTTAGGTCAAACAGGTGGCTAAATTCCTCATAGAATTCGTTTTTAATAAATGTAACTATTTTAAATGTTGTGTCAGGTAGCCTAAACTCTCTGGACTAGACAACGTCGACACACTGTCTGCACAATAACCTGGAAGGACTCGTTGAACACAATTTAAAAGCATCTCAGATTTACTCAGACAGAGAGTGAGATGAAATGTGGACGTCCTAAAGCTCCACACGTCTGCGCAGTTACCACTCCGTTCTGTTACGTGAACGCCGCCGCAGCAGCAGCAACGCAGCTTTTGACGCTGTGAAACGTCCGTGTTATGAGACGGTGTTTGTAAAGTGACTTTTGTTTGCACAGCGGGCGGGTTACACACAACCTTCGCACTGGCGGTGAAGTGAGAACACCACAACTGCTCTCCGGCTGATATTTTAAAAAGAAAAAGCGCTGTCCGCTAGTGAGCTCACACTAGCTCACACATCATGTTTCCAGCTAGCAGATATTCAAGTAAAGGTACGTGAGCTAAAGGCTAGTTAGCTACCACAGAGGGAGCTCGCTGTGCTCGACCTTTAACATGCTTAAGTTAGTTTTACCGGCACTTTTGTCACATGTTGCTACACCATTTATGTGCCTGCTGTAGAGGGTGGCGAGTGTTGTTTACTCTGTTTTTCGACTTTCTACAAATGCTAGTGTTAGCACCAGCCAGAACAGTCCAACAAGCTCATGTGTGTTAGCTTCAAGCTAGAATGTAGGGTAAAGGTGAACCAATATGTAGGTTACCTGAACAGTGCCCTTGTCCTGGCTTAACGTTAATACAGTGTATCCACGCGTTTTACGTGTACTGGTGTTAGTAACTTATCGTTGTTCTGAACGTTATCAAAAATAAATAAAGTGTTTTATACCAAGTGTGTTTATTCGAAGTTTGAATTTAGCTTAGCTGTAGCTCTTGTAGTGCTACTGCTGCAACTTACTGTAGCAGTGTGACAGCTGTCTTTTCACTACATTAGCTGCTAACATAGTCTGTGTCTGTCCTGTGTTCTTTTTTTTTATTTCATTGGGATGTTATATTTTAAGAGGTCTTCTTAGACGTCATGTTATTGTATTTTTGTGTTTTGTTTCATTGTTTAAGACACTATTCAGACCGTATCCAGTCACATGTCCACCACTTTGAACTGGTCCTGAGTCTGACTGGGAGCTGTTGTCTCTCTTGCAGCCCACAGGTGTATCAGGGCATTGAAGACAGTGCAGACGGAGCATGCTGGCCCTCAGTTGTACACAGCACTCAACAGACGGACATGCTCTTCGGTGTCAACACCCCGCATCACAACACACTACACCATCCACTCTCGAGAAAAAGATCCAAGATGGGAAGGTAAGACGCTGCATTATCGAGAGTTTATCATCACATCATCGTCACATCATCATCGCTAGCAGACCTCCACTGGCACCCTTGGATTGAGGATTTATCGTTTTGTAGTTTGATCCACGATGTATCTTCTCTTATCCCAGTTTTGTCTATAATTTGTATTTTTATCCCCCCTTTATCTGTATGATTCATTATCCCTGGTTTTTGATATATCCAGGCATTTCAATTGTGTTTTTGTTTATTTTTTCTTATACAATACAGCTCACAGTGCGTCTTCCACTTATCATATGCTTACAATGAAATTACTAAAGCCATGTTTGACAACTGAAAGTGTTAAGAATATACAGCCTGCATTACACCATTGCTTTGGTTATTTCCTATCATATTTTGTGTTATTGCCTGTAACATTTTGTATAATATCCATGGAAAGAGAAATGTCACTGAGGATTTGCTGTGGCAGCAAGGTTGGACAGGATTGATCTAAGCTCCTCAGCCCATGAGCTTAAGTCTTTTTGTCTTCTGAAATCTGATCAGGCTTGCAATGTGATTCCAAATTTAGAGTTCATTGAGGTTTTCCATTGCTGTTTAGTCGGGATATCCAGACCAAGCTCCATCAGGTTCCATTTCAGAATCGGTTCCAAATTGCTGAATTGTATCGTATTGTATGCCTCCGAGCTTATCACTTCCTTTTGTCAATGCTTGGTGTGTTTTTCTGACCATTGTGCATAGCAACCTTGCTGCAAGAAGGAGTCGTGGCGGAGAGGAAGAAAGCGTCCAAAGAGTGGTTTTATGTCGCAAACAAAAGAGGACAACGGTGCTAGTTGTAATGTCTGTAAAATGATAAGTTCAAGAGTTGGTGGAAACACCGGCAATAGACTGAGACAGTTTTTAATTTCATTGCAACAGTGCTCTTATTGGCTTTTTACTTGCAGGCTTCTCTTTGACTTGCACTTGCGTGTGTGGTTGTCGTCTGCTCTCCCCCGCTATCTGTCCCTCCTCCAGTGGAGAGTTGATGACTGCTGCACTCACTGCAAGTGAAACTGAAGCCACAAC